ACCAACAAGCAAATCAAACATAAAACCGAAGAAACCCTCAGCTCAAAATCTTACTCAGAACCCAATAACATCGAAAAGAACTTATTTTTTCATAAACCCATGTAATAATAACACTAAATATAGCAAGAATTCAATCTTTAGTCAAAAGGGTCACCATTTTTGGGGTTCTCTTGAAATACTATAAAAAAAAAAAACTTGAATTAAAAGGGTTACTCACCAAAGAATTCTGTTTTTTTTTTCTTTGGCTCTTGGTAGGCTATAGAGTCCACACTGGTGTGTGTGTGTGTGTGTGTTTTTGCTGTGCTCTCAAACAGTGCGGCTTTGGAGTCGTGTGGGACTGTGGGTTAACTTAACCCTTTGTCTTTTTTGTCTTTGATCACTGTTGATGATATTGCTTTAACCCGGGTTAGGTCATTGAATCTTTCCATTGGTTTACGGAGTTTTTTTTCCTCTTACTGTTATGTGTTACACAACAGCTTGTTTGGACTACAAAAGGGATCAAGGTCATTTAGGGGGTGTGATGCTATGATTGATATTTTTTTCTTAATTAGAAATGAAAAAACTTTTAGAAAGAGTTAGTAAATTTCGAATACTAATAATCTATATATTTTTATAAAAGAGGGGCATAGCCCACAGGATTTGAATTTATCTTTTTTCCTACATTTTCTTATTTTTCCTTTAATTTTTTCAATTTATGTGCTCTACACCAAAACTTGAAAAGTCGCGTCCTAAATTTCCTTTATTGCNGTTACAACTTTCATTACAGCCTTTTTATTTTTCCAACTGTTACAACCTTCAACTCCTCCCTCCATAATAACTAAGGAATGAAACACAATCTTCGTTCCACTTCCAGCCTTCTTCCCGGGGCTTATATTTGGCGAGAATATGGGCTATTTAGTTTATTATTTAATTTTTTCCATCATTGCCTTTACAACAGAGGACAAGAAGCCCATGGACGGTTTGAAGTTTCATGTTTATATATAGATTGGTGTTTAATTTTTAAATATCTCTTTTAAGTTTTTGTTTTTTCTTTTTCTATCTCGGGCCTCAGGGCTTAAATTTGTTGTCTTCGACTTTGTGTTACAGTTGTTGGAGGTAATTAAGAGAGTATCAAGGAACAAGAAGATTCGGTTCTTGCATAAGAAATGTGGATGTAATTCAATATCCTTCAAGAGATGATAGGACACAGTTGGTGCCATCTGATTTTTCTCTTATTATTTTGTCTTCAGAGGGCGTGAGAAGAAGAAAGTCTCTTTTTGAAAGATTTCTCATTATTGTAGAGGGTACTTGATTTGATTAAACAATTCCTCCAGCAAATACTGCTTAAATATACTATTAAAATAAAAAATAAAAATTTCTTCTAGAGGTGCTTGATGTACACTGCAGGTAATGTTGGGCGAAGTGAAATGGGCTTCCTAAAAAGAACTGCTTGGCCATAGTGTTAACTGCTAATGGTTCCTTGAACTGTTTATTCNTATGTACGCCGAATCTGATCAAGGTTAGTATTTTAAATTTGATGCTCTTATATTTGAGTTTTCTTTTTTACAAAAATATTTTATGGTCTTATATTACAAGTTTGTTGGAAAAAAGTAACCATCAATCGGCATCTATTATATCAACGTCCTAAATTGTTGATGCTTCACATCCGTTACATCAACATCTTGAATTGTTGATGCTCTTGTGGTTGTATTTTGNGCAACATTCGAAATATTGAGAAAATAATCCTTGCGTTCCTTTATAACTCCTTCTGAATATTTGGATGCATATTTCTTTCCCAAAGGATATAATCAATTGTTCTTCTCTCGAGTAGTNATTTTCAATCGGTTTCTGAGATTTGCTTAACCATGAGAAAAACTATGTGGAGAAGGATTACAAAAAGTTGAAAGCTCTCAGGAATCAAACTCTCTCGGAATAAATATTTTGTAATTGGTAATCATGAACTCAATTGTAATGTTTCTTCAAATTCTCACATGCACAACATTGAAGTTGTATCATGGTCTTTTCAAATTTTCTCTTTACATTTCTTAAATATATTGGCTTTGCAATACTTGAGGGTGGTAATGAGATATATACTAATCTCTTACTCATTTTTTGGTGTATTAGGATATTTCTCAGGAGTAGTATTTCAGCACCAACTTTCCCCCCTTGTCCATACCCTATCTCTTTCATTTGTTTAATAATATTATTATCCAGATAGTTGCTAAATTTGTGCAAATTTTTGGGCCCTTTGTTCTCTTTTCCTATTTNTTTCCAAGATATGGTAGAATTCTAACACCGTTCAATGCTTGATACAGTGATATGCAATAGAAATCTCATCTGCATGGCCATGGAGGAGTTTATCACATNGAGTGAAAATAGCACGGGCTAGCCAATTTTCGAACTGATAATTAAAAAATAGCCAGCGTATGCAAAATTATTGAAAAATAACCGCTATTTTGCTGCAACACGAAAAGTTTCGGCATAATATACTAGAGATTGGTGCACCTGTGTATGAACTTCCAGCATATTATATTGGAACTTCAGCACACGAAAAATTTCAACATAATATACTGGAGATTGGAGCACATGTGTATGAACTTCCAGCATATTATGCTGGATTAATATATTATGCTGGAACTCCAGTATATTATATTGGAACCCCAGTATATTATGCTGGAAGTTCATATGTAAAAAATTCGAACCCCAGTATATTATGCGGGAATATTTTTCCAAATTTTGAACAGTATTTTCATTCAGATTTATCTTTACATGAAAAGTTGCTAAATTTCGATTACTTTTGAAACTGTGGCTATTTTNTATGTTTAATCTTTTATGTTTTGCGTTTACTTAGAAGAGGATAATTCACTAGTTAAACAAAAAAGGAAAAACATAAGGAATCCCATAGTGTGCCCATTCGGTGTAGCTACTCGATGAGTAAGTCTTGAATATTGAATAATTAAATAAAATTCAAGAAAAAAAAGTTGGAAGGAGAAAAAGAGATTTGGAAATAGTAAAAACTGAAATCGTCTCTATAGTTTGGAATATTACAAGTCAATATTTTCCTCTCTTTTTTAACTATGACATATGCATAAAGGTAGATAAAAGCACTATAACCAAGTGTTAATTTAGTTTATCAAGAATTTCAACATTAATGTTTCGTGAATCGAGAACAAAATGAATAAATTTGGAAGAACAATATTGAACAAATTTGGTATAAAGATTGTGGTTAGTACCTAATATAGCCATAAAAATTAAAATTTTATGGTTATTTATAATATCATAAAAAAATTTAGCCACGAAAATTAAATTGGCAAAACTACAAAATTATTGTTACAACAAAAAGTCGTATCACCCTTCGGAATTGCCCAGTTGGTTTGGAAGGCGGTCATAATGACCTGAGATCGATTACCCTCTCAATGCCTTTTGGGTTGAGCATATTTTACCTAGTGCTCACCTGAAGGTTATAGCAGCTGCGGGTTTCCCCTCTTACCAAAAAAAAGAAGTCGTATCTAATCACGATTTTTTGGGTCACACGTTTGAAGTTGCTATACCAATGATAACCTCTTAGCCACAATAAATTATTTGAAACAAAATATTATTAATAAATAAAAATTGTTATGCATCTCAAGTTTTTCAATGCATATACTTGTTAATATAGGGAACTTCATTATAAAGTAAGAATCAACGCAAACACAAATCTATCTATATATACATAAGTTAGTCAAAAGTACCGCATTATAACATATTTATACTTAAAGTTTAATGTAAATCAATCTAACGTAATTAATTAAATATAAATGCCAAAAATTTTATATGAGAAATATGTACTGCATGGTTAAACAAGTAAACAAATTGCATAGAAGATTTAAATTGTTGCCTAAATGTTAGTAGTTTCATCTTATATACAGTTTAATTGCGGGGTTTTGTGTGCTAAAGGGCATATATGATTTTTTTTTATATACATAACATATCTAGTATCTGGTTATAATATTTTTTTCTTCCCAGCCAAATTTGAGCTAATTCATTACTTTTTTATCTCTTCAATTGTATGAAGTTTCCTTTGCGATTATTCTTTCTTTATTGAGTTAACTAAACAAGATAAGCATTTATCATCTTCAGAAATTTATCTTTTTTTATTTTTTTATTTTTTTATTTTATAACCCAAACACATATAACAGTATGCTTTTTTAGGAAAAATTTATTTTCATTGGCATGAGCTAGATACGCATCACATTGTGTTCAAAAACTAGTTTCCTCTTAAATAACAAAACTACTAGCTTAAAAAGCTGGATGGAGACATTAATTTTGTACTAATGATGGAGTGTTATGCTATAAGATATAATTTACGATTCACTCTTTTTTGAATATCCACAAGAACAATAATGTACATCCAAAAGAATATAATTAATTAACGAAAAATAATAATCTTAAGAACTCAATTATGCAATTGAAATAATCAAATTAAAAAAATAAAAGACATGGTATAAATATTCTTATGGTCATAAAAGGAGATGGATCCTCCATACCTAGCCATCTTTCTTGCATACACACATACAACAAAGAATATGAGATCTATTTTTTTTTTTAAAAAAAACCTTCCTTTATACCTCTATTATACAACTTCAAGAGGCAAAACAAACAAAAATTATATAGTAGTCGACAATTTTTCCTTTTTTTAAAAAAACAAATTGAGATAATATAATTTCATTACTTTATTATTTTAATATGCATCTTCTGGTTTTCTTGCTTCCCTTCTAAACCCCAAACCTTATAGGCATTTCACTGTGCACCTATGTTTCAGAGGCGAATTCAGAATCTAAAGTTAGTGGACTCAAAATAAGTGTGATTTTGTTATATGTATAAATTTTAATTTCTTTTTCATTTATATATATAATTTGCATTGAAAACAGTAAGTTCAGTTGAACCCACAGAGCCCGAGCTAGATCCGCCTCTTTTTTCATTGGAAATCTAGCTAAGAAGGTATAGGTTCAGCTAACCCAAGATTTTTGATACTGTGCTTGTATTTAATTTCAATAAATATTAAACTTTGAACTCAATAACTTTAAAAGTACATTAATAGTTCAACCGTAAGATCTAACGACTGAACCCATCAAGTTAAAATTCTGAATCCACCTCTATCTATTTGGTTTGGATACATTACTCCTCGAAGGAATGCCTCGAGGAACGATAAAGATCATAAGGAGCCCATAGATGATCAACAGTACATGGTTTTCTTGAATCCAATCTCAACCATGGTTTACCTTTACCACTCCAATGTAGTAGGCTAATTGGCCCAGGATGTAAACTCCTACATTTACCTTCAATATTATCACCACCCAATCCATGTTGGTTCCATCTATGATCAACTGGCATAATATTTCCTGCTAGTGTAAGTAAAAATGGTGGCAAAGAACCTAAGTGATATATTCTTTTTTGCTTTTGAACAACCATCCAATTCTCAACTTGTTGTGTATAATTTCCTTGTCTCCATTTTTCCACATCCATAACCATTACTCCTGTATTGAAATAGCAAGGTTTTCGTCCTTCAAACGTTTGCGATAATTTTGGGTCGTTCCAAAATATTTCAGTAAAATAAGTTGTGAAATTTGCTTGACAATATTCAGGTGCTGCTAGTACCTTGTCACCAAGATCAACTTGCCATAATTTTGCAATGCCATCTACAATGACTATGTCAGAATCAAGATAAATTACACGTTTCACGTCCATGGGAATTAGATCAGCCAGATAAATTCTCGCATAATTTAATGGTTGGTCTAAGGCTTGACGAATGGACTTTGAAATTAGGCCACGGACCCTGTGGGCATCAAATTTGTAGAGCTTGAAATTGAGGTAGGGGAAAGTGGACTTAATGCTAGAAAACACCACAGGTTCATGTCTTACACATAGGAAGTGAAACATGACATCTTCTGGACATGTTGAGTGTTGTAAGATAGATAACACAGCAGCCATTGTACCTGCAGGGATTCAGTTACTTAAGTAATTAATAACCTATTAACAATTTAAGTTTTTAAAAGATATGATTATATATATATATATATTTCGACATATATAGTATATCTGAGTACAGGCAAGAGGATCATGAGTTCAAATATCTTATTGCCATGTAAAAAAGAAAAACGTTTTTGCATGTATTTGACACAGTGTAAATATCATTTTACACCATCAGGTAGTTTGACTTATAGTAGCATGTTAATTAGTTAGTACAATTTTTTTAAAGTAACTAGTTAATATTTATCATAAAATTTTACATGCATTATAAGTGACATAGTTATTTACAACATCAATACATAAAATTTTCACTCGAAAAAGAATTATCTGACAACTTAAGTTTTTAGATAAGCATTTTCACAATACCTCTCAAGTAATTAGCATCAAGGGTCATGGCGACATGAATACGATCGGCACCACAATCTCTCCCATTGCGAAAAGCCGGCGCCTCCCTAAATACGGGAACATGTAGACCAGTTGGTTTCAAAATGACGCCAACACGAACGCTGGTGGTGGTGGTGGTGGTTGTAGCGGTGGTGATCAAGGAGATTTGGTTGCTAATTAGGGAGAGAAACAGGAGGCCAAGGAGATGAAATGAAGGGAAAAAACTCCAAAAGGCCATCCTGCAGTTTGCATATAGAATAGTGCATTAGGGAAAAGGAAGTTGAAGCAGCCATTGGAGGCTAGGTTAAGAGAAGGTTTAGGAGAGGTTATAAATGATTGATTGATAAAGAATAAAGGATAAAAGTTGGTAGGATTGTGAGGGAGAGAATTCTATTTGGTTAGGAACCTTTGACTCTTATATTATCCTTTTAGTGCTTCCAAATAATGTATTTGAGGCAGTTGTTCGAATTTCTTGTGTGCTCTATCACAAGGCAATTAGTAACTCACTTTCATGGATTAACTAGAGTCAATGATATTTTTGAGGGGCTTAGATAAATGAATTACCTCAGCTTCTCCTTTTCTTTCTTTTCCACAATTATAGCATCCATCCATTTGTCTTATCTAAAAACAATTCTATTAGTAGAAAGAACTAAAAATATATCTTGAAGTTAAATTGTGAATCTTGCATAATTTATATTAAGAAATCACATATTCTGAAAAGGAAATATGGGCCTAGATATTATGAGACAAACAAAATACCTGAGAATTTGACTTTTTATTTTAATCATTGCTTGGCTGGAGGGGTTTAGGATATCTTTCTTGAATGGATGTTATCATAATTAATCCAAAGTCAATTGGCTATTAATTCGGCTTATGGCATAACTGTATGACGGAAGTTATTTTTCATAAATATTTTTTTTTTATCTTAAATGTTTTTCATGATTTGTTTAAGAAAATGTATTTTGATGTCGGTTGGTCAGTGAAAAATAATTTTGAAAAATAAGATTAATAATTTTATTAACAAATCAAATAGGATTTATATTATTTATTATTAATAATTAATAATAATATTTAAATGTTGGTTAGAGCAAACGATATAAAATTAAAAGTTAACATAATCGTAAGAAAATAATTACTTTTATCCATAAGTGAGAAAAGTCATTTTTCTCCTTTCGATGTAAAATATTTTCCAAGAAAAATGGTTATAACAAAACACCACAAAACGGCTTTTTCGGGGGATGGGGTGGGGGTGATGGGTCCTAAGAGCATTTATGTATAGTCTAGGCAAATATTATGCGGAGTGGTGGTGAGTAGGGGTAAGGGTGGTGGTGGGTTATGGTGGGTGTGGGGGTGGCAGGGATGGGTGGCGAGGAGGTGGGTACGTAGGGTAGGGGTCTGAGCACGAGCGTGNATAAAATGGCCATACGTGGAACTTATTTTCCCTACCCCACCAGGGATTTCATTTTCCTAATTTTTTAGGAACTTGTTTTCCCAATCGGATATGAAAAAATTTTAAAATGTTCTCATTCATACCAAGCACACTTTCCCTTTTGTTGAAAAATTATACTAAGCACAGAGAAAAATGAACTTTGTATTTTATTTATCGATTTCTTATGTTATTTTTGTTATAAACCTGTGTTTGTAAATAATTTATGCAAAAAATAAAACAAACAGAAGCAGAAACAGAATAAATAAAGTTCTGAGCCCAACAGAAAACTGTGTTTTCTTAAGAAATTTAATTCTCTCACTGTTGCCCGAGGTTGTTGGATTAATTCCTCCTATGATAGAACGGAAAAACTATTCTGTAATATCGGCAATGAAAATTACAGAATTTCATCGAACTCAACAAACGACAGTAAACCACACTAATGCTTACGTTTTGCTTGTTGGAAAATAATGCATAAATGCAGAAGAGAGGGGGGAGAGTATGCAGATTTCGGTACAGAAAAATGAGGCAAAACCTCTTAATTTATAGCCAAACAGCATGGGCTGTTCATATGAGATACCATTTCGGCAGAAGTGTGGTCGCGAATTTTAAACTCAAAACGACCGTTGGGAACCACAAATTTTAAATTAAAATTCCACGAAAAAATATTAGAAATTAAATTATATAACGGAAACGGGAAATAAATTTGGTCCAAAAAATTATCAATCAATCATATCAATTAACCAAATTCGAAGCCGAAACCGAGTGAGCGACGATGACGACGACGGCGCAAGACACCACTTCCTCTTAACTCTTTAAGAGCTAGAAGATGTGCTTCTCTGTATAAGGACAAAGATTTTTCTTTCCTTTTTCCGATGAGGGACAAAGTGCATTAGTCAAGGAAACAACTTCAAATTTTTCGTTTCCCTCCAAATCTTTTTTCTCCATTTCCCATTCACATCTCTTATCTAATTAGATAAAATCCAAAATAATCCCCCATATGAATGGGGAATGACTATATGAAAATATGCATGTATGAAAAACTATGTGATTTACAAGCAAGGATTTATCGCATCTGGATAAGTAGGTTTTCCTTTGAACTTTCCATAGTGAACTTATGTCGGATATACTCGGTCAATCGGTAGATTTGATATCTTTGAACCGCCAAACTTTGGTATATACTTAGACAGCCATAAGTCACAAAATCAACCATTTAACCGCCTTTGGTTCTCATTGTTGTGTTCATTTTAGCCATGAACACCGCCTGGTTCATAAGTGTGTAGAGAACTAGCTATACAGAATTCTCCTTGAAGCGACTTACACTTCACACTTATATAGGTAATTTCTAAACGTGTTATCCCATAAATACACTATTTGATATACTCCGTATCAAACTTAGAAACTATTAAAAAGCCTTAACGCTTTATACTTGGTACTACACATTGTCTCATCACGAGAATAGACCAAAATTTTATTTGATAATGTTGAACTGTCACTAATGACTTAGTTTGATCTCCTTGAACGTAGATCTTGGGATCTTTAATCTTCTAGGTAGAGTTACCACCGTAGTGACTTGTCCTTGGCCATAGTCCCATTTCCTTAGATGATTTATCAACTGCCTCTCTATTTAGGCCTTTTGTAAGCGGATCCGACACATTATCTTTTGACTTTACGTAGTCAATTCTGATAATTCCACTAGAGAGTAGTTGTCTAACGGTATTATGTCTTCGTCGTATGTGACGAGATTTTCCGTTATACATAATGCTTCCAGCCCTTCCTATTGCCGCTTGACTATCGCAATGTATGCATATAAGAGCCACTAGTTTGAGCCAAAATGGAATATCTTCCAAAAAATTTTGGAGCCATTCAACTTCTTCTCCAGCCTTATCTAAAGCTATAAACTCGGGCTCCATTGTAGAGCGAGCGGTGCATGTCTGTTTAGTTGATTTCCAAGACACTGCTCCATTAACAATAGTAAACACGTATCCACTTGTGGACTTTGTTTCTGATGACCCTGTTATCCAATTTGCATCACTATATCCTTCAATTACCGCAGGATACTTATTGTAGTGCAAAGCATAATCTTGGGTATGTTTTAGATACCTCAAAACTAATTTCTTTGTCGTCCAATGAGTTTGGTCGGGATTAATTGTGTAACGAATCGGTATACTTACTGCACAGGCTATATTAGGTCATGTACAATTTATGATATACATTAAACTTCCCAACACTTGAGCAATCCAATTGAGATTAGCTTTGACCTAGATTCTTTGTAAGAGCCACATTTACATCAATCGGGGTCTTTGCGACTTTGAAATCTAAATACTTGAATTTTTCAAGTACCATTTTAACGTAATGAGATTGAGACAATGCCAGTCCTTGAGGAGTCCTATGGATTATAATTCCTAGAATTAAATCATCAACTCCTAAGTCTTTCATATCAAACTTGCTAGCAAGCATATGCTTAGTAGCATTTATATTCGCAATATCTTTGCTCGTTATTAACGTATCATCAACATATAAACATACAATGACTATATGATTTGGAGTGTTTTTAATGTAAACACATTTATCACACTCATTAATCTTAAATTCATTTGCCAACATTGTTTGGTCAAATTTTGCATGCCATTGTTTGGGTGCTTGTTTCAATCCGTATAGTGACTTAACAAGTCGGCACACTTTTTTTTCTTTTTCTAGAACTACGAACCCTTCAGGTTGTTCCATATAAATGTCTTCCTCCAAATCTCCATTTAGGAAGGTTGTCTCCACATCCATATGATGGATTTCAAGACCATATATCTAATGCTATTAACACACGAATAGATGTAATCCTCGTTACCGGTGAGTATGTATCAAGTAATCAAGACCTTCTCGTTGTCTAAACCCTTTGACAACTAATCTTGCTTTATATTTGTCAATAATACCATCAGCTTTCATTTCCTTTTGAAAATTCACTTATAGCCCAAAGGTTTATTTTCTGGAGAAAGGTCAACCAATTCTCAGGTATGATTACTTAATATAGATTCTATCTCACTATTGACTGCCTCTTTCAAATATTGTACTTCCGAGGAAAACATTGCTTCTTTAAACATTTGAGGCTCATTTTCCAACAAAAATGTCAGAAATTCTGGTCCAAAGAAAGTAGTTGTCCTTTGACGTTTACTATGTCTTAGATTTTCCTCACTAAACGTACTTTCCTTTGCTTCTTCTCGAGGTCGCTTAGATTTTTCACTAGACGACTCATATTTATTTTTATATGGATAAATATTCTCAAAGAATTCAGCATTATCAGATTCGATTACCGTATTAATATGAATGTCGGGATTTTCTGATTTATGAACCAGAAAACGATATGCCTTTCTATTTCTTGCATATCCTATGAAAACGCAATCAACCATTTTCGGTCTAATCTTCACCCATTTGGGTTTAGGAATTTGCATTTTAGCCAAAAACCCACATACTTTAAAATATTTTAAGATGGGTTTCCTACCTTTCCATTTTTCATATGGAATGGTTTGCGTTTTGCTATGGGGAACTTGATTGAGTATTTGGTTAGCTGTAAGAATAGCTTCCCCCCACAAGTTCTGGGGTAAATTCGAACTTATCAACAAGGCATTCATCATCTCTTTTAACGTTCTATTATTTCTTTCCGTAATTTCATTAGATTGCGGTGAGTAAGGGGCAGTTGTTTGATGAATAATGTCATATTCCAAACATATTTCTTCAAAAGGAGATTCATATTCGTCACCCCTATCACTTCTTATCATTCTGATCTTTTTGTTTAGTTGCATTTCAACTTCATTTTTGTATTGCTTGAATGCTTCAATTGCACCATCTTTTCTATTAAGTAAGTAAATATAGCAATATCTAGTACTGTCATCAATAGAAGTTATGAAATATTTTTTCTCACCGCGATATGGTATTGACTTCATGTCTCAAATATCTGTGTGAATTAAGTCTAAAGGATTTGAATTCTTTTTAACCGGCTTATAAGGATGTTTAACATACTTAGATTCCACACATATTTGATATTTCAAATTATCACATTCAAATTTAGGCAAGACTTCTAAGTTAACCATTTTTCGTATAGTTTTGAAGTTGATGTGACTAAAAGTGCATGCCATAAATTATTTGACTCAAGTAAGTAAGAAGAAGTTTGAACTTTATTGATATCAATAGCTATTACATTCAACTTGAAAAGGCCCTCAGTTAGGTAACCTTTTCCTAAATACACATCATTCTTACTTATTACAACTTTTTCAGAAACAAACACACACTTAAATCCATTCTTGATAAGAAGTCCAGCAGAGACCAAATTCTTGCGAATTTCAGGAACATGGAGAACATTGTTTAGAGTCACAACTTTGCTCGAAGTCATCTTCAAAGATATCTTTCCAACTCCTTCAATTTTTGTTGTTGCGGAATTTCCCATAAAGATATTCTCGTCGGGACCTACGGGAACATAAGAGGTAAATAAGTCTTTGCTAGCACAAACATGGTGAATTGCTCCAGAATCAATCCACCACTCCTTGGGATTTCCTACCAAGTTGCATTCAGATAGCATGGCACATAAGTCCTCCATTTCATCTTTCTTTTCAACCATATTTGTTTGACTCTTCTTCTTGTCCTTCTTCGGTGTACGGCAATCCACAACCTTATGTCCAACCTTTTCACAGTTGTGGCAATTACCTTTGAACTTCTTCTTGCTCGGGTAATTCTTTGGACCAGACGGCTTCTTTCTCTTTCTGTTGCTTGTAGACGTTTCCTCAACAATATTTGCTCCCATTACTGTTGAGTTACCACGGGACTTCTTCTCGGCAGTCTTGTTGTCCTCTTCAATCCGTAGACGAACAATAAGGTCTTCAAGCGTCATCTCCTTGCGCTTATATTTCAAGTAATTCTTAAAGTCCTTCCACAACGAAGACAACTTTTCAATAAATGTCGCATCTTGAAACACTTCATTTATGACCATACCTTCAATCATAAATTTATAATTAGTAAAATAATTAATATCTTGAATAAAAATATTGAGTCGATTTATACCTTCAACAAGAAGGTCATGAATAATCACTTGCAATTCTTGGACTTGCGTTATGACAGATTTGTCGTCAACTATTTTGAAATCCAGAAATTTGGCGGTCACAAACTTCTTAAGTCCAGCATCTTTAATCTTGTACTTCTTTTCAAGAGTATTCCACAATTCTCGTGATGTTTTCATGATGCTATAAACATTGTACAAACTGTCTTCCAAGCAACTTAAAATATAATTTTTGCATAAGAAGTCACAATGCTCACATGCCTCCGTGACCACAAATCGCTCATTTTCAGGAGTTTCTTCTCCCAGAACTGGAACGTTCTCGCTGATAAAGCGATGTAAATTGAGTATGGTTATGTTAGGTAGAAGAACATTTTCTCCTACCAACGCTTAAAGTCCATGCCGGAAAAAAAATTGGGCTTTTTCGCCGGTGCATGAGTTGTGCGACTTGAAGACGCAGTAGTCATTGCAACAGTAGTAGTCCCAACGGAACCATTCCGTTGTTCCGTACTTCTTGTCATTTTTCTGTAAAAAAAATTGACACAACCAGAATTAGTAAGTCGGTGAAGTTTTTATATCTTCAAACCGAATACAAACAACCGAGTAGAAAATCACAAAGATTTTAATCTCGGATTGAGTAAAAAGTCAGAAAGACTTTAATTTCAAACTAGAGTAGAAAATCCGAAGATTTTAATCTCCAAAACGGGAGTAGAAAATCGCTAGGATTTTCGTCTCCCAAAGCAGAAAGTAAGATGAATACAAAATAAAAATAATTAAATTCCTTAAACTTGTTATAAACATGTGTTTGTAAATAAAATCTGCAAAAAATAAAACAAACAGAAGCAGAAACATAATAGAAACAGAATAAATAACAAGTTTCGAGCCCAACAGAAAATTGTATTTTCTTAAGGAATTTAATCCCCTGACTGTTGGATAGGTGCGAAGGTACCTATTCATATGAGGTACCATTTCGGCAGAAGTCTAGTCGCGAATTTTAAACTCAAAACGACCGTTGGGAACCGCGGATTTTAAACTAAAATTCCGCAAAAAAATATTAGAAAATAAATTATATAACGAAAAAAGGGAAATAAAGTTGGTCCAAAAAATTACCAATCAAATCAATTGACCAAAGCCGAAGCCGAAGCCGCTCGAAGCCGCCGTCGCCGACGACGCGAGGCACCACTTCTTCTTAACTCTTTAAGAGCTAGAATATGTGCTTCTCTATATAAGCATAAAGATTTTCTTTCCTTTTTTCCGATGAGGGACAAAGTGCATTAGTCAAGGAAATAACTTCAAACTTTTAATTTCCCTCCATTTCCCATTCACACCTCTTATCTAATTAGATAAAAACCCAACAATTTTTTCTATCAATTCTTATAAAAATAATACATAACTAACATAACATTCGTAATAGACCACAAAAGTCTCATGTTTTTTAGACTTTCTCTTATAATATTCTTCGTTAGAAAATGTAGAACTTCATCTTTTCTTATCATCGAACATTAACCAACTTTAAAATAGCTTACTTTTCGGATAATGAATGCATAAAGTTAAAAAGATATATTCTTACTTTGCTTTTTTAAGATTCAATACATGCAATATGGTATCGAACGGATATCATATATGGGGCACTCAACAAATAGCATAAATTAAATTGTTGTTTTTTATTGTTTCATAATATATCATCTTGTATTATATTATATTATATTATATTGTATTTTCTGAACTATTTTTAAATAAACTTGTGCAATGTTTGTTGTCGTTTAATAATATTTCTTGTTTGGCTTGATTTTACTGTAGTATATATATAATTAATGTAAGTGATAAATTTACTAAATTATTCTTAATTATGGTTAATTATTGGATTTATGTAGCACCAATCCATAAATACATACAAAATATAGTGATGAGGAGTAGTAGTGATGAGGAAAGACTATTAAAATGTGATATAGAATAAATTAACATTTCAAAATCAAAACAAAAAGAGGATTTCTGACAATTGACGAGAACGAGTACCTATAATGAGATTAAAAAATAATTATAGTAAAGTGTGAAATTAACAAGAGAAATAGCGTAAAAGGTAAAATGAGATTAAAAAATAATTAAATAATAGCAAAATGGGAAATAAACATCCTAACGATTTCTGTCACATCAAAGTCGGTTGCTATGCAATAATATGTGAAAAGATTGTTACGTAATAATATAATATATTTAATATAATAAACTTGTAAGTAACAATCACTATTAAAAACTGAAGTTAACTGTGAACTTCGTCTAATCTATCGCTAAATTACTCGTAGCTAATAGAATTTCTTGATAATTCATCGCTAAATAAGATTAGGGACGAATTTTTCTGTTTAGTTATAATTTGTCCATCTTTAATTCCTATTTTTTTAGTAGTAAATTATACTAAACATTGTATCCAACATAACAGTACAATAAGATACTAATAAAATAGAAATACAATTAAATTTGCTTGTTTGCTACGCCTTGGTCACCGCGTCCAACCATTGTTGTAGTTCTAATCTTGAGCTTGGCACGATTTATATAATGAGAAATCCTATCATTAAAACTGTCTCTTCTGGTTGCAGCCCTTCTTATTTCAGTGTCACTACCAACACTCGTTGTTGTTGTTCTCATCTTGTTCTTCACTCGATCAATATAACCAGAAAAGTACTTGTCATTTCTGCTACCATTAGACTTGTTACCTGTTAGAAAATTTGAAGAGCTAGCAAGTCAACATTTGAACGAAGAAAATGTAATCAGGTCCACAAAGTATACCGCATTTACGCGGGGCTAAAGAAATACTGCACTCCAAGAGTATTTGAGTACATTCGAGTACTCGTACTCAAATACTCAAACTTATTTTAGAATAGAAGTGGTGGAAATACTCAAACTCATATATTTAGCCTACATGGTATATGCATATTTATTTTCCAAAAGGAGGAAAAATATTTCCAAAACTCTTTCTTAACCTTCTCCACTCTATTCCTCACCCTCACTCCTACCCCTCTACGTACCCAACCCCACTTTCCACCCCACCCCTACACTCGCGCCTGCCCCCTCCCTCACTCACCCCCCCTCCCCTAATATTGCCATCACCACTCCAGCCCCTAAACCTCGCCCTACCACCCTCCCCTGCCCTTACTCATTTCGTCTCATATAGTGTATTATATATTTTTTAAAAATATTTTCCGCTACCTAACCAAACATCGAAATAAAGTAAGAAAATCACTTATTTTCCAAGAAAAATATTTTTCTTCATACCAAACACACCCTAATGCATGCATCTTCTAACCAATAAAAAGGGCAACGTGGTGCACTATGATTTCGCTATTCACAAAATCCAGAAAAGGGCCGGGCCACACATTGGGTCTATTATATGCAATTTTAACTCGCTTTCTGCAAGAAAACTATTTTTACGGTTTAAATTCGTAACGCACGAGTTACCTTTTGGCTTTTCCCCAAGGTTCCCTTCACTTACCATCTCTAAGCTAATAAACCTAATACTCTAATTCATGAACTAAATAATATTAAAATGCATGAATAAAATTTAACTCTCAGCATCACCTTTAGGTTCCTGCTTATGCTGAACTTTTCCTGGAGTATGATTGTAGTCTATAAGTACCATATTTGATTTCCCTTCTATTTCAGACTTTGGGCTCTGTTTTTTAGCATTCTCCACCTTGAAAATCTTTTTATACTGACAGTCTTTGGTGGTGATCTGGTTCTTTGCCATTTGAATTTTGAAGTTAGCTCTCAGAAATGGGGAAGAGTAATTTGTGAGTTGAGAGATTGTTGTGAAGAGAACATATTAATAAGAGAAGATTAATACAGTTCCTTGTACATTAATGAATCATGTAATACTCATGTTCTTGTGAAAAGATTAGCCTCTGGATATTCCTCATGGGATATGCCATTAAGAAATAATTACTCTCTCCTTTCCATTAATTATATGAGAAGTTCTTTCGGGCACGAAATTTAAGGGGAAAAAAATAGAAAGATTTTGAAAGTGTGTGCTCACAAGTATTCGATAACATGTCCGTAAACACAAGCAAATCGGGTCCGGCAGAATTCTATAGCTTTGATCGAAACTATATATCTATATTAAACAAAATCTAAATATAACTTGAGGCCTTGTCCTATAATCCATAACTCGTAAGTTTCAAATTCTGGCTTCGCCATTATGTTATTAAGGACAACATGAAAAATTATAGCGTTAAATTACTTCTAAATGTGAAAAGTATATGTTTGTTCTCCAAGACTAAGAACATGATTCTGGCTATAGTGGCCCATGAAGGGATCATATTCGTGACTTTCTCATGTTTTCCCTTTTAAGGAAAAGACATTATATGCATCTATTATGGATATAGGGAAACTTGATTGGCCTGGGAAAGTGGAAACTGCATATGACTATTGCTCTCATAACTAAACATTATCAGCATAAAAGCAGAGGAATCAGGTTCAAGGGAGGTGTCTCAAGCTGTGTCAAGAATCTCACTGTTGGTGTTGCGTCTCGGACAAAACGCCAAGTCAAGATTTAAAGTAACTTTTCTCTTAAAATCATTCTATTTCTTTCTTTTGTTGCACAAAAATTATTTTATTTTGCTATATTTATCACAAAAATCACCTTGGCCAGATTTTATAATACTTTACTTTGAATGTCTATTATGTCCTTGACATTATAAATCCTCTCATTTATGTAATACCTTCTATATTATATACTATATAGTATATTTTTACATAAGTATTTTACTTATAATTTAAAATACTTTAAATTATTTTATTTATTATTTTTATAATATATCCATATCTCAATTTATTTAATTATATTCAAACATGAACATATTTTAAATATAAAAATGATAAAAAAAAATATTTGTATAGTCAATAAAAATTTAAAAGAAGTTTCAAAGATATTTGTGTTTAATATTAAGCTTTTTAAAGCTTTATATGTTAATATTATTTATTTGAAAGTATTAATCTAATGTGTCATTTTGCTAAATGTGGGTATTTTATTTATTAAATTAATGAATATGGCTTGGCTGATAAATCAATAAGCTTTGATTTTTTTAATTTTTATTAAACATATTTTATTAAGCATGATTAAGAACGTGGACTTGAGATTTGTTCACGGTAATGTTACTGACAAATTTAATAATGCTACTTATATATCTTGAAAATTAATATTAAGAAAAATTAAATGTACGAATATATTATAAAAATAATAAATAAAATAGTATTAATTTATATTAATTATAAGTAAAATATTTGAGTAAGAGTATTATATAACATATAATATAGAAGGTATTACATAAATAGGGGGATTTATAATGTCAAGGGCATAATAGACTTTTCAGGCAAAAGATTTGTAAAATATGGTCAAAGTGATTATTGTGATAACTAGAGCCTAGTAAAATAATTTTTGTGTAACAAAAGAAAGAAAAGTGACTTTTGGGTAATGAACAAAGTTGAATGATTTTTACGTAATAAAAGAAAGAAAAGTGATTTTTGAGTAATGAACATTGTCACATTTCCTTTTTACCCCAAAAAGATATGTTTGTTGATTATTGCGGGTTAAAAGAGTTTTTTCAATTAAAGCGATGAATTTGAGAAGGGATTATTTTATTTACAGAGTCGTCACTTGGAATTGATTTTTCGGTGTTCCAAGTCACCTTTTATTTGAATCCCTAGTCAAAGGAAGGTTTGACTCTATTTTTATCGGTCTGCGAAAATAAAGTCCGGGTAAGAAATTTTGTTGATCGGGGAGAAGGTGTAAGGCATTCCCTAGCACGATCGTTTTATTGATTATATTTAGCTTATATTATTTGTTCAACTACGTATTTTAGAACCTACGTGTATTGGACCTTTTTTCGCTTTTAATTATGGCGTTATGGATTTATCTTTAAAACAGATCACATGTGTGTAAATCCGCTTTATTTATTGTGCCAAAATCATGTCACGCGTTCGTATACACAATTAGTAGCATTTTATTATATTAAGATTATTTTGGCCAAAGTTGCACGAACACATACTTCAGTTTAAATTTTTGAAATCATAATTATGCAACGCGAACGTATACATAATCGCAATAAACTAATTAAAAGCGCGCCCAAAGCACTCTAACGGTGTTCATTATTCTTCGTAAACTTTAAAATTATTGTAAGGTCATGAATTATGTAATTACTTGTGGAAGAAGTGTATCATTTTAGATATTTGAATAAATAAACTATCATATACCAATACCTTACCGCCCAACAATTGAAACCCAAACTTATTAGGGTCCAAATCTTCCCAACTTTAAAGCAAGTTTGAATATCATTATTCTAGAAATATGATTAAGCATATAGCATTTAAGGACTAATTTATATTATTATTTATAAAGTGTAAAGGCAAATAAAAAAATCACATGAAATAAGATAAAAAGAACATAGGAAAGAATAAACCTTTAATGCAAATTTTTTAATTAAATGAGTTTCCAAGAACAGGTACAATAACTCAGACGAACGCCGAACAAGCATAAGTGAAGAAGAACATCAAAGCTAGTGAACGGAACTCCAACGGAATCCTCGACCTCAACTATTGACTCCATTGTTTAGCATGTAAAAATGGGATGTTTTAAGGTATTTTTGTTGGGTTTTGGGTGATGAATTGCTGGATTATTCGAAAGAAAGACGAAGAAAGAATGACACGAGTAGAAATTCTCTTAGCATAAAAGAAGAAAAAATAATTCTCTCAATTCTCTCATCCCTCTTCTTTTTTCTCCTCCTCCTCACATTTTCTCTTATATTTATAGAAACAATTTCGGAATTTTTTCAGATTTTTTTTTAATTATTTTTTTAATAAAAAAGATTTCACTTCCCATTTTTCTTATTTTTAAAAAAAAAAAAAAATTTCCCACTTTCCTTTACTTTTATTTTTTAATTTTCACCTTTTTTACTTTTATTATATTAATTTCCCACTTTTTTACTTTTCCTTTTTTTATTTTCCACTTATTTTACTTTTCTTTTTTTAATTTTCACTTTCTTTTACTTTGTTTTAAAACAAATTCACCTACATTTGCTTTTATTTTTTTAATTTCAACTTTCTTTTACTTTTTTTTTTTTAAATTTCCACATTCTTTTACTTTTATTTTTTAAATTTTCCACTTTCTTTTACTTTTTTATTAAACAATTTTCACCTACTTTTACTTTTATTTTTTAAATTTTCCACTTTCTTTTACTTTTTTATTAAACAATTTTCACCTACTTTTACTTTTATTTTTTAAATTTTCCACTTTCTTTTACTTTTTTATTAAACAATTTTCACCTACTTTTACTTTTATTTTTTAATTCCATACTTCTACTTTACCTATTTTTTTATTACCATCCGAAATTTTGAAAAACAATATTTAATTGTTTTTGATTTTTTAATTTATTTTATTTTTAAAATAAAGATAAAAATAAAAATAGTACTAATAGTAATAATTGACCTTTTAAATTATTTTTAATTGTTACCCAATATAAAAAATAACAAAGCTAAAAATATATATATATTAAATTTCTAAAAATATTTACATAGTAGAAGATGATAAAAATTCAAATATAGTCAAAAATTAGGTGCTCACAACTGCCCCTCTTTGTTTGGAAACATGAAAAGTTTTCAGGCAAAGAGTAGGTGAACCATGTGACTAATTTTTTACCAAACCGTTATTCAAAAGGAAAAGATATAAAAGATAGGGTGCAACTGAGTCCTAGTTTTGGACAGCCTACATATCTCGGGTTATAGGGGAATCAGATCATGTGTAGTTCAAGGAGAATAGTGGAATGATGAGTTGAGGAGTCGAGTGAGGTTCCGTCGATGATCTGGTCTGCAGTCTTGCTATTATATCAAAATAAAAAAGAAACTAAACAAGTTTATCAGCTATGAGTTACAAGATTCCTATCTATGAGTCTGCTGAAACTTGATCTTGAGTCTTGACTGGTTCTTCATGCAGACTCTGATATAAACCTTGATGCTCGCTAGCTGTAGGTGCTAGTTCATTGTTCTATAGTTTCTTCTAATCAAAACGGGACTCCTATGCTCATGGCTTCAGTCATGTCTTGAGCATTCCACATCTTTTCAACTGCTTTTGCATTTTGGATTCACCTATTTTTTCTTTTCTTTTATTCTGAATTGAGACTTCTTCTTTTGGTCATCTCGAACCCTGTGCCTCGAGGTAAAACCTACTCAGACACCAAAACAAACAAACGAACGAAATTTTTCTGCCCTAGTTTGCACTAGGAAAATTTTGTGAGTTATTGTAACAAAATTCTAAACTACTTAATTGAAAGCAATAAAAGGACGAGAATGGTGTACCCCGAAAAGATCATAATGGTTCTTTTTTTTGGATGGTGTTCCTTTATTGTCAAAACAATATCTCAACTAAGGATTGGTGTACCTTATGTTGGGAAAATATGGTCAGGGAATGGGATACCCTATATTGGCAAAGATATCGGGGAGTGGTGTACCTTGCATTTAAGATCAAATCAACTAGGGAGTGGATACCCTATGTTGGAAAGGAGACTAGGGAGTGGATACCATATGTCTAAAATAAAATCAACTAGGGAGTGGAGACCCTATGTTGGAAAAGAAGATTATGGAGTGGAGACGCTATGTCTAAAATAAAACCAACTAGGGAGTGGAGACCCTATGTAGGAAAAGAAGACTAGGGAGTGGAGACCCTATGTAGGAAAAGAAGACTAGGGATTGGAGACTCTATGTCTAAAATAAAATCAACTAGGGAGTGGAGACCCTATGTTGGAAAAGAAGACTAGGGAGTGGAGACCCTATGTCTAAAATAAAATCA